GGCGAAGGAAGTCTGTCAGACACGGTCCTGGCAATCCTGAAGCCTCTCGCACCAGGCATCCCAGACAATTACTGGCACCTAGACCAGGTTCACCGAGCCTTGGGCACAAGAAACCTGGATGCCAAACAGCCGAGGCATATCATTATGCACGTCCAACATTTTCAAACAAAAGAAACTATCATGAAATGCAGCAGAGAAGGCCCCATCACTATCCTCCTATTCCAAGAGCTGGCCCCAGGGACACTCCAGAGGCGCAGAGAATGGCGACCGGTTACAGACATCCTCAGAAGCCACAACACAAAATATGCCTGGGGACACCCATTCAAGCTCATGGCGTTCAAGAATGGCAGACCGAAGATACTAACACCAGACGGCGACGCAGTGGCCTTTCTTCAGGCACTAGACATCCAGGCTCCACCAGACCTCCAATAGCAGACAGTAAATCCAGCGGACCTGCAGCTTCTACCCAGGGAGTGGTATACAGCGGGCGAGTGATGGCACAAACCACAGGGCAGACACACCGAGCACTTCCAGCCTGACCGCCCCGCCTTGGCAGACAAGCCCAGGAGGGTGAGATATCCGGGGACACTGATGGCAAGTATGGAACGCCCTGCCAAGCCAACAGGCATAGGCAAGCTGCAACGTATGCCATCACCGAATCATACAAAAGAGGTCTTGTCCCTAGCTATACCATGACGTTTAGATCTGCTACATTATACTGAACGGACAGGTCAGACACGGACAGGTCAAGCCACCTTAAACAGACACAAAACTAAGGAAAGGGTCCTACCAAGACACCAACACCTACTGAGAATAGGCACTCAGGTTAGACACGGGGTTTACCAAAGTTACACTACACCACATGGACGCCCATAACCCTTAGAGACGACACCAAATAGCACCACCTACAGACTGTAAACGCACGGAGGGGCTAGCAGAGATGAGGATCACACAACGACAAGTACACATCTCCCTTACGCTGAACCCCCCCCCCCCCCCCCCCCCCTGACAAAACCACATGAACTCCTGGACCCAAGGACATGCCGCGACAGGAACCGAGACCTTTCTGGCCTCCTATAAGACACACTGACCAATGGGCAAGATAGACGGGTCACAGGGACGACCCCGTAGACGTGCTCACGCATATAAAAAAAGGGCTTAGTGACTAGATTATACAGATTAGGGCCCATGCATCCGTGTGCCGCACCCACTGTTGATGGGCCGGCATCACTGATGCAGGCGCCCACACAAGTCTAGCAAAAAATAAGACCAGACGGTTTTTCAGTTTTTTCTGTTTCTGTTTATATCTCTATGTTATGATTAACTACCTTTGTTTTTCCCTCCTCCCTTCCCCCCCCCCATGGTGGTCGGAGCAACCCGATCTTGGCGATCACAAGGACAGAGACAAGAGGCACCCCCATGCAAAACCCCCAGGGCCTGCCGGAGGACAACACCTGTAAGTCAGCCCAATTGCACTCACCCCAGACACCACTATGTCCACACGCATCAATTCCCTAAACGTTAAGGGGCTGAATGCCCCTAAAAAGTGTAGGCTCTTATACAGGGAACTTAAAAGACTAGGCCCAGAAATAGCCTTTCTACAAGAAACCCACCTACCTAAGACCCTAGGGATATCCCTCAGAGACCAAATATACAGCACGGGCTATGAGGCTAGATCACACTCCAAACGCAACGGAGTAGCGATTCTAATACACAAACGTTGTCCGCTATGGGTCACGGGGGTCCCAGATCCAGATGGACGATATCTCATAATTTCCGGGACATTATTTGCTTACACCATTCACCTCATAAACATTTATGCACCTAATGAACCATCCAGAGATTTCTGGGGTCAAATAGCAGACAAACTGAAAGCTTTACAGCATGGCATGATTATAATGGGTGGCGACTTTAACGCTGCTCCATGCCCTGCCGCAGATAGGGGGACCATAAGGGGCTTACCACGCTCACACGGCAGAGGGAGACAAGACAGACTGATTCATGACTTCATCTGCACAATGGGACTGATTGATGTGTGGAGGGCCCAACACCCAGGAGAAGTAGACTACACATTCTACTCCGCACCCCACGACTCCTACTCCCGCATCGACTACTTCTTAGTAAATGACCAAGCCATCCAAAAGACCACAAAGTCCTCAGTAGGATCCATCACATGGTCTGACCATGCAGACATCAGCTTAGAACTAGACAACCTCTGTACCACGATCCAGTGGAACTGGAAACTAAACACCTCCCAACTGCAGGACCCAGCCATTAAAGAGACTATACGCAGAGAGATTGTAGAATACTTCCAACTAAACACCACACAGGACCGGACACCCACAACCATATGGGCTGCTCACAAAACGGTTATCAGAGGTACCCTCATCAGGAAAGCCACCAGAAAAAAGAAACTAAAAACACTACAATTAAAAACCCTTTTACGCGACTTACACACTCAAGAACAGAGACACAAATCCAACCCCACACCGACGGACTCATAGCCCTACAGACTACCCGACGCCACATTAGAGAGACTCTGTTAGACGATGTCGCGAAGGCAATGACATGGTCTAAGAGAACATTCTACGAACATGCCACCAAAATGCACACACTCCTGTCCCGCACACTGCGCCCGCGACCAAGACAAACACACATCACAACAATCAGGGACCATATAGGACAGACTAAAACAGCACCAGCGGATATAGCTCAAATCTTCACCGAGTTCTATAAATCCCTATACAATCACACCCCCACTAACGCCGACAATGCAACAGACATGCGGGAAGATATCAGGCAACACCTTAGCAAAATTGTTCTCCCGAAACTATCCCCTTCAGCAATAGAGACCCTGGGGGACGAATTCACAGTGGACGAAATAGACAGAGCTTTTAGAAGTTGATGGAAAGGACCAGGTTACGACCCCCAGACTTCTTTAGATACATCCAAATTAGAGACTTCGCACAACATAACCTAGCAAAAACTGCGGCACAAACTACACCAACGGGTTTTGAACAAATGTGCCTCAAGGAAAACCCCCAAAAGGGACTCATCACACACTTATACGCACACCTATGCACAAACAGCACTGACTGGGGCGACCTACACTACACTACACAGTGGGAAACAGACCTTGGAGAGACCCTAGAGGGCATAGAATGGAGAGATATCTGGGACGCAAACAAAGCTATCTCAGTGTGTGTCACACAACAAGAGCAGGCCTATAAGACCATGCTGAGATGGTATACCACCCCAGTAAAATTGTACCATATGAGAAAAACTCCAGACGACTTGTGCTGGAGGGGCTGCGGAAACAAAGGGACGTACATAGATATGTGGTGGGACTGCCCGAAAGCGCAGACCTTCTGGAGGGGAGTTGGGAACCTTCTTGATAGTGTATTCCACAGAAAAGTAACACTAGACCCATGGGTTTTTATGCTCTCTCGAACACTAGAAGATTGGCCAAGGGGAGAACAGAAACTCCAGCACAAAATCATGCTTGCTGCCAGGCTCACCATGGCACAGGCATGGCATAAACCAGCAATCCCCCAGGTAAACACAGTAAAACACAAAATAAAAGACACACAAGTCATGGACCACTTTACGGCACTGGTGAGAACCTTCCAAAAAGTCTGGGACCTGTGGATAGCAGGGGATTGGGAGAGCTGAGAGATCTCACTGCTTATGCAGCCCTAGTCACACTTCCCCTGGCTGTGACTCACAAAGGCTGTATGAAAAAAAAAAAGGTTTAATTTTCAATTCAGAGGTTAACTTACTTTAGAACTCATTCGGGCACGTATATAAAGACATGCACGTGTGGCGTCTGACAGAATGCCAAGATCGCGAGCGATACCCGCATTGTGTTTATTTTGCCAATGAGATAGAACTACCTGAGCTCACCTCCCTTCATACCTGTGAATATTCTCCTAAAAGTGGATACCAGTTACAGTGTGGGTAAGTGTTATGCTGGATGTGCCAAGACCACCCTAATGCTGGGCCATTATGTCGACTCTCTCCTACCTGCGGTTTTGAATAGTTTTTGGCTCCTTGTTATCTGGTCTATGCTATTTTACGTGAATTCCATTCAATTTAGCTGGAGGCTGCAATGAGTACATATAGCTAACTTGAGCTTCTTTAGCTTCTGGGACTACATTTCCCATGATGCCCAGCAGCAGTAGGATCCCCACACTGCAATAAGATTATATTACGGCGCAAAATCATTTTGTTTAAACAATGTTTTAATAGAGAAATGGTAAATCACTCTACAGTGTGTCAGTGCAACAAAAAAGATGGTTAGAAAGAAAAATAAAAAACACAATTCAAGGTCCTATGTATGACCTCATCAGACGCTTTCCAGGTGCAGCGCCCGCTTATTGATCCCAAGCACAAAAATGATCCCCAAGGAAGGGTCAAACTCAAACAACTGGAACAATGAGTGTTCAGGTTTAGAAACTGGAAGACAAAAGGCTATATAAATCCCACAGGCCCGGCGCTTGCAGTTCGCAATCTATTTACAAATCCCACAATACAACTTAGCTCAAAACGGCTCTTTAAATAATTGCAGAGGGCGATTATCTGTCTGCACAAAAGCAGATAAAGCCAGGGCTGTTTGTGAACACGAGGAGATGTCGGAGGTGGAGAAACGAGATGGTCTGTACAGGGAGGTGGATAGAGTTACCCCATTGACGTGGCTAAATTTTGCGTCACTGTGTCGCAAGTAGCAAGACCGACAGGCCAGGACAATCCTGTAATAACCTGTGCCATTCACAAAAACAAAATATTTAAAAAAATTTAAAAGCTTGACATGTGCCTTACGGAGGCATACAAAGGGGTTTATCCACTAAGCAATGAGTTGCATTGAGCAGACAAGTTTAAGAACTAAATATCTGTAGTTAAGATGTTATTTGCCTTTTATTTGCCATTTCACAATTTATTATTTAGTGAATACATTCTCGTTAGTCACCATTTAGTGAATAAACCACGAGTCCCAGGAGGACCCTCTCCCTCCGAGGCTGGGTACACTTCTCCTAATAATATGTGCCAAAGTATTGTGAGAGTCTCTGTGGTCATACATGTCCTGTGATTCGCACAGCCAGGTGAGGATGGAAAGAAGACGTATTTGTGATGTCATCATGACGGTTCTCCAAACAGAAGGATGAGTGTTGTTTTCTTCACGATCCATTATCTTGGAGAAGTCATTATGTCTCTGCTTGGCGCACTTAGATCAACAATTCCTCCTCCCGTCTGACGAGGCGTACACACTTTGTTTGCAACCATTTATTTCTACGTGCTGGATACTGGCTGACAAATTATTTTTACTTATTAACCCTTTTAGCAGAATCATACACAAACACGAGACTCAGGCGGTAAACAGCCGGCCAGGCAGCGGGACGTAGTGTGAAATACCAGGCAAAGTGCAGCAAGGCTGGAGAGCAAAGTCTGAACCGAGACACGCTCCATCGGAGCTCCCAGACTGGCATAAATTCGATGCACCCTCTCTCAAGGGTTTATTCACTAAACAGAAAGTTTTGCAGTTCAGTTTTCTTGTCGCTGCAGTTTGGTGTTTAGCGTAAAATCTTCACAAGCGTCCCAACAATTTACATTTTAGTGAATAGGTGGATAATTCTGACAATGTTTTAAAGGGAATGGTCACTTACCAAGGAACTTAATATTATCTTTACTTGTCTCCTATATTTTGCAAATTAAGTGTTTATAATAAGGTCTAGAAAACATCAATAGTGCTGAAATCCGCAGTGCTATATTTATATTGATGTTGTAACTGGACGCCTCCGTTGTGGCTTCCTGTCAAGCATAATAACAAATGTCGCCCTTTTCTACCATTCAACATAATGGAAGAGGAGAAACGAAAACCATGTTTCTGTTCTCTTCATTTGCATTGCATGCCCTGGCTGTGCCTTGCCTGAACTGGGTTGTAGACTTTTTTGGAGCGATTCGGGATTTGTCCATGTGGCTTTTTAATGTGTACGAATTTCAACCATGCAATCATTTCAGGGAAAACAATTTGGACAAACCAAAAGAGTGCGAAAATTGACCAGTGTTCACTAGCTATCATTCACCTTCTTTTCCCATGAATCGTCTTTTAATTTGGCCCCGTAGACCAAACTCCGAATCAAGAATCAAATGAAATATTTTTTTTTTTTTTTATTTTTTTTAACAGTGAAATAAAACTTTATTCAGCCATCAAAAAAGTTGACAAGTGGCAATATTGTATATAGGTGCACCCATTTTGCAAAACACCAATAAACATTAATTTATCCCATCAGATGGAAATCCTAATTTGTAAATAAAAGATTAACTGGATCAACACATGTGCTCAATATCTATCTAATGCAACAATGTTACCACTGCACGATTATTATTAATATTATGGACATGTATAGCGCCAACCTATTCTGCAGCTCTTTACAACATTAGATACAGGGTTTTATCCCATTGGTGTTGCAATATATATACAAATGAAAAGCACTCCCATACTTCCAATACAACAGGGTTGCTACTAAATAAAGTAAAAACATTTAAATGCTGGCATCACAACAGCTTTACTCTGTGTTGCAAATAAAGTAGCGTGGCAACCCTAGTAAATGTATCTTGACCAAATGAAAGAAGGCTTCATATTTTGCCATCAGCTCTATTTACTAATTCCAATTGCAGCACAAATCATAAAGAAAAAACTTCGACCAATAAAAAAAAAAAAAAATAGGAGGTAATATAAGGAAGGGCATGCTCTGAAAAGCACCTCCTCTTTCTTTGCTGCTCCTGCATCAGCACAGGTCAAAATGTTGTACTCCTGTAGCCCACACTAAATATTTTGTATTTGCCTTGCTCTCTATCTGCTTTTGGGGGGCCGGCTCCTGCAGGCTGGATTGCACACGGCAGTCATCTTGGATCTCACAAAATCCTTGGCAACCATCTTGACTCAGGCCCGCTTGCAGTAATCAAGGCTGGGGCACTTGGGAGGGGTCCCCAAAGCCTCTCACTAGAAGCATTTAGTTTTCTTTTCTTGCCTCCTAGACTTTCTACTGGTAGTTCAGCATAAACACATACGCCACTTGGTGAATACATACACATGCCTCTTGTCCTATGATTCATGTTATATGCTGATTAGCCCTGGATTTTTATGTTCAAAAAGGCTTTATTCAAACATAAGCATTTCAGGGTATGCCCTGATCCCTGTACATTAGCAGATATCAATTGATTGAACAAGTAAATAACATATAACATATAACGGACTCGCAGGTCCCAACATTAAGTGTGTAGACAACACTCAAACAACGTTACATAGTACTTCTATATGGTATTTGGTCACGTTTAACACGTTAAGACATACATATGAGTGATCGGATTGCGGCTTGAGTAGAGGGATATTCATAAGTTTGAACCTTGCGTCTGTTTTATGTGATCCTCTAGTATTTCCTTATCACCCTTGTGAAAAGTTTTTTTTAATTCGTCCATAAAGCTTTTCGGAGTTTGGGAATTCAGACAAACTGACAATTGCCCCAAAATTCTGATGAATAGCAATTTGCTTGAATACAAATGCACAATTCTACTGGATTGTGATGTCACTTGCTAAATATAATATGCATCTTAAAGAAAACTGAGGATCGCATAAAAAAAAAAAAAACGTAGATGATTTGCGATGTTTTATTTAATGGGGTAATTTCTACACACTATATACCGAATCAGGACGTGATAGGCTACAGGAGTGATCATTTCTATAAATATTTCTGCTATTTCCTAAACTTTACTTACCGGCTGTCCACAATCCAGCAGCATATAGGTTTCAGGGAGACCCCTGGTTTTTGTCATAGAACTCTGGGCCAAAAACTCAACATGGCACCTAGACACTCATAACACAATAACCACTATATGTCATTGTTTGGGTCTATGAGTGTTTGTGACTGGTTGCAAATCACGGGGGACACATTTCTAATAGATGGGGTACAGATATATAAATAAATCGCCTCCTACTGATCATTGTCTGAAGACAGAAAACCAGGGCTGCAGGGATAGCAGGACGTTTACAGATGGATTAAAATAACAATTTGGTTTTAAATTAAAATGATCAGGAAGATCTATTGTGTTTATTTCTAATGTTATCTCTCTTCATTGTAAGCTTCATTAAAACTGACAGACCAGTTACTGACCCTGTCTGCCTATAATACTATACCAGGTACTCCATCTTATTACTCAAGGTCCCACACGGGCCCCTACTGGTGAAAGATTAAATTGCAACAACAACAAACAACAAGTTTGGAAACTCAGCTACAGGGTCTTTTTGAATAAAATGTATTTTTTTTTTCTTGGTAATGGTCAATATATATATCATTTTAAATACCAGCCCAGATTTAAGTTTGAAAAATGAAAAAAAATGAAAAATAAAATGTCTTTTCTCCAGTGGTACGTAACTTTTTTTTTACAGGGACCCTTGTTATGTTTAAATTATCTTCAGCGTCATATCACCCAATGTTCCCTGTTTCAGAGGGCTAGTCCTGATTTCCCCCATTACCGGTTTGACTCCAATGTAGGAGGTATGTTGGTGAACCATTCTTGTCTCTTTGATCAAGTTTGTACAATATTATATCTACACCTTCATTGGTCTCTTTCCAGAATGGAATAAAATTAAAATTGCTGAGATTCCTATAAAACCATATCAGTGACAACAATATTAAAGCCAAAATGTTACCCAACACACTTTTAACTTTTTTTCTCCAATCATCTCACTATTGTTAATATTCCATATAATTTCTACATTGAGACAATGTTCATTTCTCCAGGTAAATGTATTCCTGATGTCTGAACGTCATGGTAGTTGTAATTCAGAAATATCAGAAGGGCCATCACTGTTCCAAGGAAAACCTATAAGGTTCTAGCGGTCGCACACGCTGCATGCTGTATGGGAGTGTAATGTAATTGAATGCATCCCCAGGGCATGTTATCCTGTAAGCGGTGTAATGTGTGCGGTGAGGCTTGCCATCTATTTGTATCGTTTGAGTCATTGTTACTGCAATAAAACCCCTTCCAGGAGACACACACCCCCAAGACACACTTGCCTTAATAACATACGATTCCGCCCTGGTAGTCCCCTCCTATCTTGGCAGTCTGTGCCTATGGCATGCAGTCTGTCGCCTGGCAGGTGCCAATCAGCCCATCTTATGCAAGCAGTGACATTTTATCAAGTGGTGTATTCACTAAACAGTGCATTGCCGACAACCAGATTGCAATACAAGCATGGGCCACGTCTTTCAATACTTTGGACGTTATTTTGGAATACATGATGTAGGTCTGTGGCCAGTTCGATGTTCAGTTAATAAACCCTTTACGATATCCATCAATAACCTCAGAGCTTTTCAATGCAGTAATTTAAATACAATACAAACTGTGATAATAGAGAAAATGTATGACAAACTTACCGTAATTTTCTTTTCCTGGCTATTTCTCATGGCAGCATCACTTATGGGTAGCTCCTCCCTTAGCAGTCACAGGTCAGGAATTAATTAGATGAATTAATCAGACTGATAGGTATAAGGAGTCCCTCCTCCCCCTACACCTCAGTCCAATTATAAAGCTGAAATAAAAGAACGGGCGGGAACCCTGATGCTGCCATGAGAAATAGCCAGGAAAAGAAAATTACGGTAAGTTTGTCATAAATTTTCTCTATTCCTGGCTAATCATGGCAGCATCACTTATGGGTAATACCCAAGCTTCACAGAAAAATAGGGTGGGAATAATAATCCAAGAAACTACACAAAACTGAAACTCATGCAGCAAAGAAAAGTTTAATATCAACGGGATAAAGAGACCGTAGACAGGACACTCTTTCCAAAGGAGGTGGAAGGAGACTCCACATCAAGTTTGTAGTGTTTTATGAATGTCATCGGAGAAGACCAGGTGGCTGCTCTGCAAATATCATCGTATGGAACCTCTGCCCAGCTAGCCCATGAAGTTGATAATGCTCTAGTAGAATGAGTTCTTATCTCCCGAGGTGGTGATGTACCTTTAGAGATATACGCCTTCTTAATTATCAGAGAAATCCAACGTTTCAACGTAGATAAAGAAGCCGCCTCACCTCTCCTTGCTCCCATCGGCAAAACGAAGAGTTGGTCCGTTTTACGGAAAGACTCAGAACGTTTAAGATATGCAGACAAGCAGTTCATGACATCCAAACGTTGCCATCTAACCTCCTCCTGAGAAGAGGGGTTGGGGTAAAATGATGGAAGAACCACTTCTT